ATTGTATATGAGGTGCAGACCACTGGTACTTGCTACAAAATGCAGCAGGCTACAGGCTATAACACTCTTGTGTTCTTCATATCTGCCGTGTTGTAGTGAGGGAGGGCGCATAGCTGTCATATACCTGATGACTGCTCCAACAATATTAATATCCACTCCACCCGACCTTACACCCCTCCCGCTTTCCCATCACCTCCACTCCATCTTCCCTCCGCTCAAGCCAGTCGGCTCCCACATCCACTCCTGTGCTCCCGCTTGACCACCTCATTGGTTGCCTTCCATAAATCGCCTCCACTCCCCTGAAACCTCTTTCCCCATTTAGGTATATACTTTACCCATTGATACATAGGACTTACTTCCTGGATCACCGGTACTTCCTATAACCACTCGACTAACTGATCCGACGTGTACATATTGATATCTGCTCCACCTTATGTTTTTCACCTGTGCTTACTTACAAATTATGCTTGGTACATAGCCTCATACCAAGGACTGCTAGTCACTGCCTCCTACATAGAAGTATATAAAAACATACCATGTATTTAGCTATGTCATATACCTGATCCGACCGATCCGATATTGATGTCCGCTCCACTTTCCGACCCCCTCCGCTTCATCCATCCTCCGCTCCGTCCAATCACAAGCCCGCATTCCGCCCTACGCTTCCACTCAACCGCTCAACCGGTCCCCTTCCATAACCTCTCCATTCAACTGGACCTCTTTCCCCTTTTAGATATATACTTTCCCCTTCGGTACATAGACCCTTACTTCTGGATCACCGGTAATTCCTATTACCGCCCGATCACTGATCCGACATGTACATATTGATATCCGCTCTGACTTATATCTTCGCCTGTGTAAAGCACTTACAAACTATATCCTTGGTACATAGCTTTACAACATAGTTATCCTAGTCACTACCTCATACATAGTAGTATATAACATATCATGTACTTAGATATTTTCCTTAGTCTTAATATTACTTGTCTTCTCGCAGTTACGTCTTGTGAGAATTCTCAGTAGGACCTTGCCTCCTCTAGACACAAGTCTCAACTTGTTGTCACCTCCAACCCTCTGACCCTCTGCTCTGACTTAGAGCCATGCTCTAAGTCTTTCCCTTATACTCCGCCCCTATCAACTATTCTCCCTTGTCCCTCCACATTATCCTCTGCCTTTCCCGCCCCCACCAAACATTCCCCCTGCTCCTATCCACCCTCCGCATCACTCCCCGCCTTCTCCGCTCCGCTCCTAGTCGGCCTACCGCTAATAGCTCTTACTCCCCGACCCTCAAAGCAGACCAAAGCAGTCCACTCGTCCTACTGTCAGACAACGTCGGACCTGCTCCAAATTCAGGGCACATACTTGGCTAAGGGCACAGCGCAAGAGCTGAAGCCAAGCCCCGACCCCTCTGCTTCCTGAGTCAGCACGGTACCTAACAAGCTACTTCTCAGTCTTAATATTACTCGTCTTCCTGCAGTATCTACTAGTGGGAATTCTCCGTAGGACTTTGCTCTCTCTGGACACAAGTTTACCTTGTTATCACCGCTGACCCTCTGCTCTGACTTAGAGCTGCGCTCTAAGTATTTACTCTTACCTCTCTGACCCAACCAATCAATCCCCTTACTCCCCTCCATCCTAATACACTTCCTCCGCTTCTAGTCAGATCACAGCTAGTAGCATTTACCTCCTGACTTGCAACGCGGACCAAAGCAGTCTGCCTGTCCTATCATCAGGACATCATTGGACCCGCTCCAAATTCGGGGCACATACTTGGCTAAGGGTGCAGTGCAAGAGCTGAAGCCAAGCCCCGACCCCTCCGCTTCTCCATCCAAGCACAGTTCCTAACAATAGCTGAACAAGTGAGCTTGAGAGAACTGTGGGCCATGGATATTAACAACAGTGATGCAAGTGTAATGAGCAACATGCACGCACCTGGACATCCAAGAGCACACCATAACCTAACTACAAGCATCCTACAATGATGCACTATGTCTTCAATGAAGACCTGAGCATCAGGGAGAGCAGCATGGACTGCACCAGTGGACTTATGATGCTGGAATGCTTTTAAAATAGGTTAGAACAGTTGGCGCATTAGTAAGAAGCAAAGTCTGCCAAAAAAATCGTGAAGAAATGACCGTTAGGTGAAGGGAATGATGAGCTCGTTGTTGAGCATGGTGAGCACAGGGGAATATCAACCATGAGAATGATTGAGAAGGTGTAGTGTACCATAATCAACAGTGTGGCATGATTTGTGTTAGGAACAGTGCTCAGATGGAGAAGTGGAGGGGTCGGGGCTTGGCTTCAGCTCTTGCACGGTGCCCTTAGCCGTGTATGTGCCCAAATTTGGAGTGGGTCCGACGATGTCCAATGATAGGATGGGCAGACTGCTTTGGTCTGTGTTGCATGTTGGGAGGTAAATGCTACTAGCGGTGATCCGACTAGAAGTGGAGGAAGTGTGTTAGGATGGAGGGGAGTAAGGGGATTGATTGGTTGGGTCAGAGAGGTAAGAGTAAATACTTAGAGCATGGCTCTAAGTTAGAGCAGAGGGTCGGAGGTGATAACAAGGTAAACTTGTGTCCAGAGAGAGCAAAGTCCTACGGAGAATTCCCACTAGTAGATACTGCAGGAAGACGAGTAATATTAAGACTGAGAAGTAGCTAAATACATGGTATGTTTTTATATACGTCTATATAGGAGGCAGTGACTAGCAGTCCTTGGTATGAGGCTATGTACCGAGCATAATTTGTAAGTAAGCACAGGTGAAAAACATAAGTCGGAGTGGATATCAATATGTACATGTCGGATCAGTTAGTCGAGCACTTATAGGAAGTACCGGTGATCCAGGAAGTAAGTTCTATGTATCAATGGGTAAAGTATATACTTAAATGGGGAAAGAGGTTCCAGGGGAGTGGAGGCGATTTATGGAAGGCAACCAATGAGGTGGTCGAGCAGGAGTGCAGGAGCCAATGTGGGAGCCAACTGGCTTGAGCAGAGCAGCAAACGGAGCGGAGGTGATGGGAAAGTGGGAGGGGTGTAAGGTCGGGCGGAGCAGATATTAATATTGTCAGAGCGGTCGGATCAGGTATATGACAATTGGCCGGAATGTGTTAAGGTTGTGCTCAAGGGAAAGGTAACTCAAAGGGCTTGGCTTCAGCTCGTGCGCTGTGCCCCTTACCCAAGTACATGCCCTTAATTTCCAAGAGGCAGATGGGAAGTCCAATGGAAGTCCAGGTAAGTCTGGAGGTCAGACAAAGGGGGAGTTCAGCAGAACTCTGGAAGGCTAGGGGCGAATAGAGTAAGACTACTTCAGACAAGTCTGGAGTAGAAACGGAACAGAGGTAGACTACCCTAAGGTAGAGCCGGAGATATAGTCTTAAGGATTAACCCTAAGACTCGGAGGTGGACAGGAGATCAGACTCAAGTCCAGAGAAGCAGGCATGAGCAGAACTAAGGTGATATTTGAACTGAGGAGTACTGGAACTTTACAGGAGTTTATATACTGTAGGTATCATGTAAGGAATCAGTCAGCAAAGTAAAAGCTATGCCCAAAGCATATGGAAAGTCTATTAGTAAGTGTATAACGGATCAAAGCAATGAAGTCGAAAATGAAGTACAAATGGACAGATCAGTAAGCAAAGTGGAAAGGTATACAACTGGTAGCCAGAGAGCAGTATTCTAAAAGGAGATAGGTGAGAGTACAGAGATGAAGGTGGAGCACCGGGCAGGACAGCAGGACAGAGAACCAGACTTTCGTAGGGGAGATCCAGAATTCTGGGTCCGGAGGTACAGGATATGACAGAATGTCAATTCAGCACCAGATGTCACTACCTAATATAGTAGGGAATATTGAGCTCAAAAATCCCCCAAGTCAGTGCCAATGTGCTGATATTATTGCTGGTATAGGGTGTGGTATGTAGGTGTTACTAACAAGTAACAGGAATAGGTACCTCATCTAATTACTAATTAGTAATATTAATGATGCCACTCAGGTGGACAGCTTTATGTGGCTTTGTCTTGCTGCACTCATCCAGAGAGTATTTGCTATTTTCCCAGAGCATGAAGAAGGCACAAAGACGACCAATGTTGTGTATATAGAAGTGCTTAGAGGACTGACTGTGTCATATCCCGTACCTCCGGATCCGGAATTCCGGATCTACTTCATTGAAGTCCGGTCCTCTGTCTCACTATTCTGCCTGGTGCTCCGCCTTCATCTCCGCACTTACCCTTAACTCCTTTTAGATTAGCTATTGCTCCGGTTACCGGTTATGTCCTATTCCACTATGCTTACTGATCCGTCCATTCTTACTTCATTTCTGACTTCACTGCTTTGATCTGTTATACTTAGTAATAGACTTTCCACATGCTTCGTACATAGCCCTTACCTTTGCTGACTGATTTACTTACATGATACCTACAGTATATAAACCCCTGTAATACTCCTGGAACTCCTCAGTTCAAATATCATCTTAGTTCTGCTCATTCCTGCAATCTCCAGACTTGAGTCTCATCTCTTGTCCACCTCCAAGTCTTAGGGGTTAAACCTTAGGACTACTTCTCCGGCTCTACCTTAGGGTAGTCTAACCTCTGTTCAGTTTCTACTCCGGACTTCCATGGTAGCCTTACTCTGTCCCCACATAAGCCTTCCAGAGTTCCGCCAAACTCCACCAGACACTAGTCCTCCGGAACTCCCTGGACTTCCAGTCAGGACTTCCCCTCTGTCCCCTGGAAATTAAAGGGCATGTACTCGGGTAAGGGGCGCAGCGCACGAGCTGAAGCCTGAAGCCCTTTGAGCAACCTCTCCCTTGAGCATGACCTTAACAGACTGATTCTATTGCTGATTGATTTACACATTGTATACTTTTATGTTGTGTAGTAGATTGTACCTTTACTTTTGTCAAAATCCTGAATACTGCTCAAAAATGTAATTTATTTCAAAAAATTCAAAATTCTGCTATGATTATCAATTATTAAGTTCGGGAAGTGCTCCACTTGCTTCCTGTGCCGAAGGCACAACAGGTGTGGACTCATATTACGCCAGCGCTAAGACCCGTGGGAATGAACACTCTGGACTGTAGTAACCCTAACCCTATTACAACACGTGTTTCTGGTGCTTACAACTTTTGTGGCCGTCGTCCTTACCGTCCGCATCGTCCGCTCGTCATATTCACCGTTGCTGGCAATGGCGATGGTCGGTGTTAGTTCGACACCATCATACACCATCCAGGAAGCAACAAGACAGTCCACTCAAGCCTGGCGGAATGATCTCACTAACCTCTTTCATCAGGCAAAGGATCGATTCGCAGATGTCGTCTGGGAACTCCACTCGGACGATAATGACGACGACCACGATGAAGTTTGGGGCCACAAAGGTATTTATACTAGAGTTTGTTCATTGCTTTTTTGCTGATAAGGTCCAGCTATCGTGTATGCACGCGCCCCGCCTTCCTTCCAACAACGCTACTTTCAATTCCGCCCTCCTCCCATCGCTTCCCCGACTCCGTACTCTGCAAGTCCCTCTCCAGCGCCAGCCCAGTCTGCTATGTCCTTAAGTCTCACCCTGGACTACCAGGCCTCCCGTTCTCCCTCTCCATACCATTCATCATCCCCTTCGCCTTCTACGAACCTCAATGCCGTCATGCGCATACCAGCCATTAGCAGCACAACGCTGTTTTCGAATGAGCTGGAATATCTGTACACAGGCGAGGGACTAGGCGAAGCATTTGAATTTCTCTTTGATACCTCTGAGTCGCGTGAGCTTGTCGATGCAGAGGAGAACCGCGTTGACAAGCTGCGCAAAGACCTCGTGTTCATGTGGCGATCTCGTCTTTATTCTGACGTTCGCATCGCTCTGTCTGGCACCTTTTCCTCGACAAATCACGAGCCAGCAACCGCTATTTTTTCTTCTCACCGCTTCATCCTCGTATCCCGTTCCCCCTACTTCCATGCGCAGCTCTTAAACTGGGCCCAGCCAACAAAGCCCGGGGAACCAATCACGGTCACGCTCCCCTCGCCTCCTTTTACCCCAGCCTCACTCCATTTTACCCTGGGGTATATCTACACGGGAACCCTCGTGTTCTCCCACCGGACGTATGACCTGGACACCGCGTTCGCGATCCTTAAGTCGGCGATGTACCTGTCTTTGGACGGGCTGGTCGCTGAAGTCCAGGCCCGGATCGTGTACGAGATGCTTCACGGACTGTTCCATGCGTCTCTTGAATTCAACGAGTATGAGCGCATCACGGGGTCCAAGTGGGGTACTGGCGGGTGCCGGTGCCGACAGTGCGCACGGCGAGCGCCTCGTGTACTCGAATTCGCGCTTGCAGACGATGTCAAGAACACGTATTTGGAACGGGGCGCTCGACGGGCGCTGGTGGGCCTGTTCGGTGAAGGCTGGTGCATCTCTGAGTTCGCATCGCTTCCGCAGAAGATCCGAGAAAATCTGCTAAAGGGTTTGGCAAAACGAACGACGCCGCTAAACCTATTTCCTCTACTGTTCGCCGCGCAGCACGCGATAAAGAAGCTTGACGCTGTCATCGATGCATGGGCAGACACGTCGCGGGAGATGGTACTGCAGGCGCGGAAGGCGATCGACGAATGCCTTGTGAGTCAGAGCGCTGAGTGCTTCGAACAGGAGGACTGGCTGCAGATCATGGAGGCAGATGGAATGAGGTTTGAGGACGGCGAGCGGGTTGCCTGGGTGATGGAAGCGATTAAGCGTGGAATGATTGAGAAACACGCTGGGATGATGTATCAGGTGAGGATTGAGGTGAGGTCAACCTACGCATGATGCTGACATTTGATCAGACCCTTGTAAATATTCTCCTGCGACCACACCCAACAGATGAAGACGCTGCTATGCTCTCCGCCACATCGCACATCCGCGTGCAAGTTGAGGACGCACGTGCAGATCTCATCCGGTACATCCGAAAGCGTTGGGTGGCCACGCGTCAACAAGGCGGTTTCGATGGCCTCGAGGGCTGGGCCATAAAAGAGATCTCTCAGGGTAAGCTTTTACATACCTGTCTTATTCTCTGATGCTTAAAACTTTTTGTCAGAACTTGAAGTCTCTGTTGAAGACCTCGTATCACCCGCTCAGCCCTCCAACCCCCGACGCACTGCCTTCCGCAAGTCTTCCGTAGCTACAGATGCGGACTCTGATACACTCAGTGTACACTCGCTGCGCGCGTCTGTGCTGAGCCGTAATATCACCGGCCCTCACAAGCATACCCGTGAGGCCACAAATACCTCATCCGCTGCAAGCGTGCGCACCATCGGGCGTTCGTCTCCACGCGTTCCTACGACTCCCAAGTCTAATGATGTACGGCCTGACTCTAAGCTCACGCCCGAGTCGCAGAGTATCACATCTGTACGATCAAGTGCGACGGAGAAGGCTATGCAACGCAAGATACCCTCGCCTCGCACAGGCAATGTCAGTCCCACGCCAAATGGGACGAGGCCCACACTTAGTAAACTCATCACTTCTTCCTCACCATCTCCAAAGCCAAAATCCATTGCACCCTCGGTGCGTTCACGTGTTTCCAGTGTCCGTTCCTCCGCAAGAGAGTCGACACTTCGTATTCCATCTGCTTCCCGTCCGAACTCGAGTTTGTCCAGTGCAACAAGCGATGCCACATTCAGGACTGCACCTTCTGAAGCGATCACGCCGCGCTCGAGGAAGGTGTCTGGAGGCTCTACGGTTTCAAATGTGAGCGCGAGAACTGTGGGGACGAGCAGAGGCACTCCTGTAAGAGAAAGACTATCATCTGGAGTGTCCACTTCAACCACAACAACCTCTGTGGTCGCCACAAGAACATCCGGGCGTCGCTCAGCAACCGAATTCAACAAGCTGATCCCCTCCAAGCGTACACCCACTAAAACCGCCACCCTCTCACAAAGGAAGCCACTCAGCAAAGTCATCGAGAATCTCAGTCACTCTCAAAAATCGCCTCACATTACGCTTAGCGACCTCGACAAGGGCAAGGATCGCGAGACGGTCAGCCTCGATGATGATGGTAGCTCTCCGATGCAGGATGCGGCCTTTCCCACAGCAGACTCTCCCCCAGCACTCACCCGCCGCGGGTCATCAGACACCATCACCACAAGCGTACGGACTCCCGAACAATCTGCCTCCCCGGTGGAGGCGAACGTTTTGGGTCAGCTTCGCGGCGCGACGCTCGATATTGGCATTCCATGCATAGTGTCGTCGAAGCGCAAGCGCTTCAAAGCATTCGCACGATACATTGGCGAAGTCGAGGGCGAGCTTGGACCCTGGGTCGGCATCGAAGTACCACTGGAGGCCTGGGTCGGTGACCCCTCAGACGGCCGTCAGTGGAACGATGGGTCGTGGGGGGGCATCCGTTATTTCGATATCGGGAGTAGCGGATCAGAGTGGGAGTTTGGCGCAGACGACAATCAGATGCAGAGACGGCGAAAGATGGACTGGATGAACGGGTCAGGGAGGGATACTCGCGGATTGAAACGAGAAGGAGACCAGTTGACTGTAGGAATGGATCGTACGAAGCGGATGCGAAGCTCGTCGCCCGCAGCATCAGACCTGTCGACGTCCGAGTCGAGGGGACTGTTTGTCCGACCACAGCAAGTCCTCTATGTCGTGGATGCTGTCGGGGCTGATCTCTGATGAAAGAAGAATGGGACAGTTGGTTTTATTATTCTCTTCTCGTGGGTATTGATACCATTATGGTTTGCTTTTAAGTCGTCATGTTTTGATTTTGCACTTCAACATACAACCACGATCCTTGCATTGGTATACCAGACAATCACACTCTCGCGCTTCATTTCATCTTTGCATACATTACTGATGACAATACACTAACTTTCGCCACCAGCAGATTATTGATTCTAGTATGGAAGATTGGTCAGGGGGGATTTTGCAGGATTTTATTTCTTTTTAGATTCTGCTCTTCTTCAGCTGATGAAGGTTTCGCATCATTTCACGTTACTAGTGCTACCATCCTAATCGAGTCCTTTTCGAGTCTTCGTATAAAAGTTGTAGCACGTTGTAACGCCGGCGTTTTTGAAGTTGACCTAGTGAACTTAATTACTCTCGACCGTCTGGTGGTCCTGCGCCGCTTGCGAAACGCAATCAGCTTCTCGCAGTTGTCAGTTGCGAGGTGGCCTGGAATCCAGGGACACAATGACACTAATATGGCGTGCCATGGGGACATACTTATGCCAGGGCGGCAAGTTGTACAGCATGAAAATAGCCAGGTCGTCAAGAAGGCTCGCAGCACTCAACAACCTTGATGGTGTTCCGTCCGGAAAGGTGATGACGTCACTCCGAGGAACTACAACTACAATATTATTAATGCAACGTCCACAGGGTGGCCCTATTACACAGCCAGTAAGTAAAGTTCATGACAAATGACAGAAAGAACAAACATGACATCTATGTACCAACGCTGTTACAATGACCATACATGCATGTACCAAACCATATCGTCCATGTAAGAAAATATGTAAGAGGCGAACAAACAATAGTCCGAAGAACAAGAGAAAAAACCGAGTTATGGTATTCTAGATGTGCTTGGAGCATTTCCCCTTCCTCCCCTACATAATCACGCACTCCTTTTCCTCCAATTTTGCACCTTGAATTCCCATCTCTGCAAACGTGGTGGCTGGTTTTGAACCAGGCGCACGAGCAGCCTGAGGGGTCGGCGTTCTATCTCTATCGGCTCCTAGTGGACCTTGTGCCTGTGCTGGCGGCTGCGGCTGCGGCGCCGAACCTTGCCTCTGACCAGGCGGTCTTCCAGCAGCACGTGCATACGCCGGCTGCTGTGCCTGTGGCTGCTGCGATGGCGACTGTTGACGAACAGGCGTAGCACTCCCAGATCCAGGGTCAACAAGCGTGTACCGATGTTGATTAGCGAACTGCCTTTGCGCTGGCTGCTGCTGTGGAGGTAGTTGCTGGGGCATAGCAGAGGGTGATGATCCCTCAGAAAGCGATAATAGCTGGGCGTGGACCTGTGGTGGAGACTGCTGCTGTACTTGTCGCACAATAGAGCTCTTTCTCGCCATCTCCATGACTTGTCTACCATCCTCCAGACTCATACGTGGCTGGACGCTGGATCGTTCTCGGGCTTGAGTGCGCTTGCGCACGAGCTTGGCTTCGGTGATGGTGTCGTGTTCTTGTCGTGAGAGGGCTTGGGGGACTGATTGGTTGAGCGCTGCGATACGTTCTACAGCGTCTGTATTTCCGTGTTCAGCAGCCTAAAAAATCGTTAGGAATAATACATAAATACGAAAAAAGAACCTACGAGGGAGTACCACTTCATGGATTCCTGAATATCCTTTTCACCACCGACACCGACCTCTTTATAATAGCCCATCGCAAACTCGGCGCTTGGTAGCCCACGCCTAGCGGCCTTTTCAGCAAAGGTAAATGCGAGGCCTTCGTCCTTGTCGAAGGCGCCTTCTGCACCGCACAAGAACCATTTACTGAGGGCCATATCTGCCTCCACCTCCGCCTGCTGACTGGCAAGGGAGTAATACTGAACGCTGAGCAGTGCATCAAAGGGGAAGGGCGGACTGGCAAACTCGTAGGCATGACCGAGCTTGTATTGAGCGGGTGCGAAACCGAGGTAGGCTGCGCGTTCGAGGTGGCGCCTAGCCTCTGATTGAGCGGCGGGGGATTGCGGTAAGAGAGAGGGAGGCACTGAAGCGGGGGAGAATTCGCCGAGGAGGAGGAGGGCGTAGACATACGCGGGTTGTGGTGTTGTAGTACTTGCGAGGGTTGCTGCGCGCTGCAAAAAAGGCAAGGCTGTAGCTGGGTTTGGAGGGAGTCCTAGCTGGCCAAGTAAATGGGCCATTCCCATGCGCTGAAATGATGAATTAGAAAAATGACAACCAAGAGAGAGGAGACGTACGTAAACACAACTTTCGACGGCCAATTTTGCGCCTCTTTCGAAACAGTCTTTTGCATGAACTGCATCGTTGAAATTTTCATAATCGCGACCTAGACGGAACCAGGCAGCAGCGTAACCAGCACGTGCAGCAGTCTCGAAATCGCGAAATGCCTGACGAGGGTTGTGTGGGATGCGATCTGGATAAGCGCCGCTTGCTTCGAGTGTAGCACGGAGGTAGACTGCTTCAGCAGCGAATAGGGGAAGTGGGTTATGGGTTATGGATGCAAGTTGTTGGACGATCGGTACAGCAGTTGCAACGAGACGTTGTAGTTGTGGGTCAGTGATCGTGACTGGACCGGATGGGATGTCTGTCGCGCTTGGATTTTGTGTACGATCAACGAGAAGAAGAACGTCACGGGCCCAAGCGAGTTTGAGTGCAGGGTCATGGGCAGGTTGTTGTACTGTGGGAAGAGCGGTGGAAAGGCTTTGCACTGTGGGAATAGGGGCTGTGAGACTGGGTACAGCGTTCTGTGCACTCTGTGAACGTGTAGGTGGTTGATGATGCATTGGTGGGATAGGTTGAGGTGGTCTTGGTGATACTGGGAGAGGAACACCAGCTGGGTTTACGTTCCAGGGGGTGTTATTGTTTGGAGGTGGTAGAAAAGAAGTGCGTTGGGGTGGAACAAAACCTGGAGTTGGGTTGTAAGGTGGACGAGGAGAGACAGCACGGTAAGAAGGTGTTTGATGTTGAAGATGAAAATTTTGTGGTGAACCGTAAGTAGAAGCGGTCTGATCTAAGGAGCGAGCCATCTTGATGTAATAGAAGGTCAGTTTGAATTTAACAACATGTAAATCGCGCACGTTAGATGGTAAATCTGGGTCAACGCGTTGTGGGCGAGGCGCGGGTAATGGCGATTTTGATTGATCTCGTTGTTGGGTTATATATTCTGATGGAAGAGGTGGTAATGGTGGTGCAAGTGGAGGTTGAGGTTGTCTTAGGTAGTCTGCTGGAAGTGGTGGAACTGGAGGTGCTGACATTCGAAGGTGATTATTTACGTAGTTGGCAGGCAGGGTCCATTCCGATAATAACAATACTTATAACGCGAACTTGTCAATGGCTATACATATCTTGACCGCAGTAACCTATTTATGGTCACTAGCCGAACTATTCACAGCTATGACCCTGCCTGCTGGACAGGCAGAGCAGAGTCAAGACTATCGTCCCTCAACCGTTACGCCAAAAGGCAGTGATAATGAAGGGGCAGTATTATGGGAACTCAGGTAAGCCAACGCAGACCTTGGATGTCATTACACTAGTGACAACATATTCCGCGTAGTACCCCCAGAATAGGCTCGTGACCTCGGCGTAAATACAGCCCGGAAATATCACCCGGGTTCTTCCGTCAGAACTGCCACAGGCTCCTTCCCCGCACTTGTTCTCTCGCATCCCAGTTGCCGACTTGCAGACAACACCAACGAATAGTCTCTGCTCATCGAGCACTACGACCTCCTCACTATGAGTGCACCAGGTCCCACGATGAAGACATTTCAAAAGCGTTTTTGTACTGCTCTTCCTCGCTCAATACCCTCATCATCTCCTCCATCTATCTCCCGCGTACGATCCGGTTCATCACCTTCTACTCGTTCTCTCTATACTACACCTTCCAGTCCACTTGCTTTCTTTGACTCCCCACCACCACCACAGCCACAACCTAGCAAACCTCATGCCGTTTCCACTTCTCGTCTTCCTGTAAAGGCAGAGGGCGAAGGTTCCGCCCATAATTCGCATGGACAACCCCCCTTCTCCTTGGCACTTACATCCCCACAAGCAAATCCAAATTCTCCTCCCCACACCCCTCCTTCCCATCAGTCTTCCTCTTTCTTTCCCTATCCCCCATTTGTACCAATACCCTTCTACAACATCTCCCTTGCAGATTCACACACCGACTCTCATCCACGCGAAAAGAAACAAAAAGTTCGCTATCATCTCGACGTCGGCGCCTATGGCATACCGAAGAAATCCAAAGGCCCAGTCTCAGGCAGACCAATAGCCAGCGGTAATCCCAATAGTTGGCGAAAGATCGACCCTCAGCACCAGAAAGAGGATCTCACTCTCGCAGTTCAAGTAGGCGAGGATGCCTACTTTATCCAGGAGAATGCAATGGGCGTCGCAGATGGTGTCGGTGGTTGGTCACGAGCAAAGGCCCCTGGTATGTTTCATTCGCACCCAATTCTTCATGTTCTCACCATATGTACCAGATGCTAGTTCATCTAAGATAACAGACCCATCACCTAGTGCTTTGTTCGCCCGCAGATTAATGCACCATTGTTCAGCAGAGACACTACAAGCCGAGGCTTCAACCTTCCGTCGCCGCGATGTATCCCCTTCTCGCTCTAAATCCCCCCACCGACATACGGGCTCTACCGCCCTCAATGCAGCTTGGCCTGGCAAGGCCGATATCGACGAACTTCATGAAGAGCTCGAAGAATCACTAGAGGACCTTGAAGACGGACTAGACGTCCTAATGATCCTCGAACGTGCCTACGAAAGCACAATCAAGGCTCACGTCATCCCAGAGCCTCCCTGTCCGTCTACAAAGGGGACTCTATCACCAGGGCTTCCATCCATACCCGAAGAAAACCCCCTCACCACCTCCGCCGAATCCCCACGCTCAACCCCCCAACTATCCCCTTCAAAGATGATCCCACTCATGACAGGTTCTTCAACCGCCCTCGTCGCAGTCCTTCAGCACTCTTCCAGCACCCCTCCCCCAGCTACATCCCCACCCCGCCCATTCATATTCCAGAATTCTACAGATACCCCCCCTCGCGAAGAGACCCACGACGCAGTACTCAAGATCGCCCATCTCGGCGACTGCATGGGTATGCTGGTACGTGACGAGAATGTCATTTGGCGCAGCAAAGAAATGTGGCGCGCCTTCAACACCCCCGTACAACTCGGTCCCGCATCATCTGCACGCCCTCGAGATGCCCAGATCCTCAGCCTCCCAGTTCAGGCAGACGACATACTCATTCTAGCATCTGATGGCCTGTCTGATAACTTGTGGGATCACGAGGTCCTTGACGAAGTAGTGCGGTTCAAGCGCTCTTTCCTGAAGAGCGACAGTGATGGAACTGGTGAGGGTCTATTGGGCCGTCGAACGCTAGCTGGTATGCTGAGCGAAGCACTCTGTTCACGTGCGCGTCGCGTGAGCGAGAGAAGGGGGCAGGGCATCGAAGACGGAGTGTTTGATATGGAGGATGAGGTCCCGTTTGCATGTCGCGCAAGGGAGTCAGGGAAACCATTCAGAGGTGGTAAAATAGATGGTGCGTCTATTAACTTTACCTGTTGCACGATATTCAAGAATCGTTCGCAGATATTTCGGTATTGGTAGCCGTCATTTCACCCGCTACAGACGTCGCCCGGAGCTCCTTGTAAGCTCGCTCAGCGGATTTTTTTGTTTCTCGTCTTCGAATTCGACACTCATCGCTCTATCGCATTTGCACATGTATCACAATTTACCTTGGAAGTGCTCTGCTGGTTTATGTTATGTATAGATATACAATGTCGCCGCTGCGCTGTCGATGTATAGCAGCATATTTTGGGTTTTGTACAGGCATCCGACCGCGGTAAATAGGGTCGGAGAGTAATTTCAAGCTAGACTATAATGTACAATATTAGAGTCGCCTTGCTTTTCACAATTTCACTGCATGATGCGTGAACTGTTCTTTAATGGCAGGCTCAGGGTGATCGTGCGCGTAAATAGAACGATCCGAAATTTACAAAGCAGTGAGCGTTGTAGGTGTAATCATACATCTTGTCAATTCACTTCCACACCCTACCTACCCTGAAGACATGTACGACTCGTCCCTGCCGCAAGTCGTTTGTATGCTATGAATTCATACCGGCTGCACTTGCCTGTTAACTTCTAACTGCGCATTGCTCGCCCCAGCCGCTGATCGGCTCAACTAGGCTTAACTCACTGTCAAGCGCTAGATCCTAAAGCCTGGGCTTCCAATCGCAATCCCCCAAAGGTATCCCTCGTGCTGCCCTAAACAATTCTTTCCGTTTTCCGTCTGCATTCAACCAGCAGTGGGCCGGCATGTTCAGGGACCACATAGCTTTTAGTGCCAGTGAATGCTATACATGGGAGGGTATTTTTCTACCGCCTTCCAATTGATGCGCACTCGTCGCTGTTGTCACTTGGAAGTTTCATATACCCATTGACAGCCTCTCAGTTCCCCGCCTTTTTATTTCATCATTGCGCCGCATGTCATTGGTTCACTGCTTCGAGGGTGAAGATCTGACCGCTCATACTCAAGCCAATGCGGTACTACGAACAACGATACTCGGAAATCAATGAGCTAGTCTAGAACTAGTTCAACCAAGTCTGCCACCGAGATTGTGGAAATGCGGTGCATATGTACGTCAAGCCTACCGGTGCGTACAACTTGCGGTACCACGAACGACGATACTTGGAAGTCCACGAGCTAGTCTTGGATCAAGTTTGTCACTGAGATTGCGGAAATGAGCGCTAGTATAGCACCAAGCCTGCCACGGTACGTACAGCTCCTATGGTTCTCGTAGGAAGCTTCTTCCTGATACGGAACCTGCAGCTTGCTGCGCCCATGCCGCTGATCATGATTCTGGCAGTTCTGGACTTCAATAAAGATAAAGACCTATATCATAACCTAATTGAGCAGAAGTACCGGACAATGGCTACAGATAAACTAATCCAAAGTTGATGCACCTTTCAAGATGGGTGAGTGCATTTCATCTGTTGCACGAATATATTGTACACCAACGAACATTTCGCAAACACGCACTCGGAGAAAATGTAAGAAAAAATCAAGCACGAATTATACCATGTCTCCAACGGCGTACCAGCAAAACTTGAAACACAACACACTAGTGATGAGAGAGCCACCAACACCATTCTCTGTCGTCCGTTCATTCTTTCTTCGTTCGTCGGACCGTCTCCCGCCCTTCCAGTGAACCAGTCAAACCTCCGCCTAACGAACAAAAAAATTCCCCGCTCAAGTAAGCCAATCAACCTCCCACCCTCGGTTGCCATCCTGATCAGCGCACTTTCGGCGACTGCAACAGCCCATCCCAGTCCTCTCAACGAAGACATGAGAACTCTCGTGCGATCCGCATCTCTCCACAAATGATGGTACACATCGTGCGCGATGTTGGCAATGACTGTCGCCATTGCGAGGCTCATTGCAACATAGAGTACGATGGAGCTCCTCGTGAAAAGGTACGTGAACGCGCCTAGGATTGCCAATGATGCGCTGATCAGGAACAGCTCTGCGCTGTTGGGAGTGTGATCTAGATATGCCAGATTTGGGTAGAGCTTTATGAGCCTCCCGTCCCCTTTGGACCGCATGTAAAAATGCCAGTACGATATTTGACCCCCGTTCCAACATGGATCAGACATTAGGGGCAGGATAAAAATTTGTTTGATACAAATTCATATGCACTTGCCTGTTCTAACTGCGCACTGCTCACCCTGGCCATGTATATCAGCCGCTGATCAGTGATCAGCGTCAGCTTAACCCATCCTGGATCCTAAGGCCTGGGCTCTCAATCACCGGTTCCCCGCATTATCCCTTGCGCTGCACTAAGCCATTTCGTTTGCTACGAATTCATAGGCACTTGCCTGTTCTAACTGCGCACTGCGCACCCCCATGTTTATCAGCCGCCGATGAGCGTCCGAAGCTTAACCCATCCTAGATCCTAAAGCCTGGGCTTTCAATTCAATCGGTCTCCCACATTATCTATTGTGCTACCCTGAACCATTCAATTCTTTCCACTTTCCATCTGCATCCAACTGGTCCGATATGGTCAGTTACAGGGACTAGATTCTCGTGAATGCTATGCACAGGAGGGGATCATTATACCGCGTTCAAATTAATGCGTACTCGTTCGTCCCTGCTTTCATATGCCCACTGACAGCCTCCCCCCCTTTTCATCCTTGTGCGCCTCGATGTTATGTTAATGCTGACGTGACTCGTACTGGCCGCACCTCGTGTCTCTGAATTGTATTGCAAACTGGAGCCACCTTGGTTTGCTTTCCGGTTGGAGGGTGAAAGCTTGCCGCCCATACTAGAGCAAATGCGGTTCTACGAAAAACGATACTCGGAGGCTTCAACGAGATAGTCTAGATCTAGGACTAGGTCGGACTCTGTCGCTGAGATTGCGGAAATGGGTGCACACACCAGGCCTACTATAAGTACTTACATGAAAGCTGACGAGCTGTCTTGGAACAAGTCGGGCGCATACTGACTAGTATAAAGTTTATCGGTACGTACAACTCCGTGATTTTCGCCGGAAGCATCCCCCACGACTCCCCTCACTAATGAACGATCTTCATTCTAGAATTCTTGACAGTCGATACTGAACGAAATTGAATCAACTTGTGAGGAAAAGTATAGTTTAACCCCCGACAACAGTGCACGATAAGACCCACTCACTGACCTTCCCTAACACGGTAGCAGGAATAAAAGCCCCTCTTCACCAGAGTCAATTGAAGCAAGGCAGCTCACCCTGAGTTACACACTTTCCTCGAGTTGGTGGGTGTTTTTTTCTCGAACCATAGTATCCAGCGGACTCAAATATTTCAGCAAAAAAAAGAATGGCGACAGCCAGCAGCCCGCGTAGATTCCTCATCACCGGTGGGAATGGCTTCATTGTATGGACCTTTCATTATCACATAGAACGATGTTGAATATGATGTTTGCTAGGGTTCCCATGTGGGGAAGGCATTATTTGAGAGGGGCCACTATGTTCGCATCGCAGATATCAAGCCGACTTCTTATTTCAAAGAGTGCATCTCGAATGAGGTTCTCGTTGGAAACCTCTGCGATATGTCATTCTGTGAAAATGCTGTTCGGGGCATGGACACGATCCTGCACTTTGCCGCGACAATGGGTGGCATGGGTGCGATCCATGAAGCGAACGACTTCATCATATACAAGGACAATTCAACAATGACATTCAACCTCGTACATGCAGCTGTATGCCGGGGTGTTCGGCGTTTCTTCTATGCATCTTCCGCCTGCGTGTATCCAACATCCTTGCAGCACCATGCCATGCCAACCCCCGTATCTCTCCGCGAGCAGGACGTGTGGTCTTCTGGCGCCCCAAACCCACAGGGCCTCTACGGTCTTGAAAAGCTACACTCCGAGCTACTTTTGATACAGTTTGCCACAAAGATGGAGATACGCATTGCTCGGTTTCATAATGTCTTTGGCCCACGTGGCACATGGTTTGGCGGGCATGAAAAGGCGCCCGCTGCACAGCTGAGAAAGGCTCTCGCCGTACACATGGAGCCCAACGCTCAGCATGAAATCGAGATTTGGGGAGACGGAAAACAACTGCGGAGCTTCCTCTACATCAACGATTGTGTGGAAGCCATTCTCCTTCTCATCGAGTCCAACTGCAGTGAACCAATTAACATTGGATCTGACTGCTCCGTGGCTATCGAGGATCTCACGAAGATTGCAGTGCAATCTGTCGGCATGAACATAGGAGATGTCCCTTTCAGATACATGAAGGATTCTCGTCCGATCGGAGTCCATGCCCGCAACTCAAACAACGACTTCGTTGTGGAGACATTGGGATGGACTCCGCAGGTGACCCTCGAGGCCGGTATGATGAAGACTGCTGAATGGATCAGAGGAGAAATGGAAAACATGCTCATCGGCAAGGACAGGGCCAGCCGGACCTCACTGTTGCGCAGTCTTAAAACAAGCGAGGTCGTATACTTGAATAAACCCATCATCACATTCGCTATCTTACTTCCCATCACCTCCCGTGGTCTCGAGGCGCCCGAAAAGAGCCTCGACAACCTTCGAATCTTTGCACAGTCCCTTGCCCGCACTACATGGCGTGACACGCGCGAGCTTGGCGTTGTCCGTTTTCAGGTGAAGATATACCTAGGAATCGATCAGGACGACGAGTATCTCCAGCGCCCTGCGAAGAATGACGAGAAGTCAAATATCACCGAATCAGTCTTATTAGAAGAGGGGATCGTGAATGTCTCGACCGAGATTTGCGATGTACCACGCGGTCATGTCTGCGCCATATGGCGCCAGTGTGCACACCGCGCTTGGAAGGAAGAGGCCGACTATCTTGTGCTAATGGGCGATGACGTGGTTCTACTCGATGAAGGCTGGATGAGAGAGATCCACAAACAGTTTTTGTTGATTTCACAGCGTGAAAATGTTCCTCAGGGTATGGGATGCATCACATTCACAGATGTGACTTTCCCCGGCATGCCCACGTTCCCTGTTATTCACCGCACTCATATGAACGTCTTCGATGGCCAAGTCATACCCGACATTTTCATTAACCAAGACGGCGACCCTTTCCTCTTCCAGCTGTACCGCAAATGGGGCTGCTCCGAAATGATTCCATCAAGAATTTCCAATGGCGTTGGTGGAAGCTTACCTGCACGCTACACCCAGAAACATGCAGACGGATGGACGTTCGGTCCACTCCAAAATGCAGCATCAGCACTGGAGGCATGGTTGGCGACGTCTGTCCCGACCGCTGCTCGCAAAATGACTCTGGATGTTATCATTCCCAGCTACCGGGTTCAGCTCCCTTTCCTTGATCCCATCATCGACCTAAAACCTTCGTCAAATTGTGAAGTCATGTTTATCATCATCATTGACAACCCACGCTCTCCGAGCATTACCGAGCTGGAAGCGAAGTATGCTCATCGCCCAGATGTCCGCATCCGCGTCAATGAAAGGAACCTTGGCGCTTCGGCGTCACGAAACAGAGGCATGAAGGAATCTGCCGCGGAATGGATTCTATTTCTTGACGACGACGTAACACCACGAGCTGACATTCTGATCGAAACTGAGAAAGTCATTCGTACGAATCCACAGGCTGCTGGTTTCATTGGAAACATCGATTTCCCTGTTGCCAACACTATTTTCACCAATGCCGTTCACCTTGCCGGCGTGACTTTCTTCTGGGACATTGCCGCGAAGATGCCACGGGATGAGAGTGACATGCCTTGGGGAGTAACGGCAAACCTCATCGCCCGCCATGTTCAGGATTGTGTAGAGTTTGACTTGCAATTCCCGAAAACAGGTGGAGGAGAAGATATCGACTTTTGTCGGAAGAAGCGCGACTTTTCCGTTGCCCATGGGGGGAAAGGGTTCTATCCTGCTCCTCATGTCGCCGCAACTCACCCTTGGTGGAACGAGGGTCAAAGATCGTACTGGCGTTTTTACATGTGGTCCAAAGGCGATGGGGGGCTCATAAAGCTCTACCCAAATCTGACTTATCTAGATCACTCCCCAAACAGCGCAGAGCTATTCCTGATCAGCGCGTCATTGGCGATCTTAGGTGCATTCACGTACTTTTCCACACGGAGCACCACCATGCTCAATGTTGCAATGAGCCTCGCAATGGCGACGGCCATTGCAAACATCGCGCATGATGTGTACCGTCATTTGTGGAGAGATGCGGATCGCACAAAAGCTCTCAAGTCTTCTCTGAGAGGACTGGGATGGGCTGCCGCAGTCGCCGAAAGTGCGCTGATCAGGATGGCGAGCGAGGGTGGGAGGTTGATTGGCCTACTTGAGCGGGGAGAAATTTTACTCATCGGGCGAAGGTTTGACTGGTTCACTGGAAGGGCAGGAGATGGTCCGATGAACGAGGAAAGAATGAATGGACGACAGAGAATGACGCTGGCGGCTCTCATCGCTGGTGTATTATATTTCAAGTTTTCCTACTAGTGTGCCGCTGAGGTGATCAGTATGATTTGTACTTATTATCCTTTCTTCGATTCTGCGCGTTATATGATCGTTGGTTGTACGATATGTATTATCTAGGAGTAGCCCATAGCATGTAAGGAACGTCATTGACAGATGAAATATACATCCGAATCGCATCAACAATTAGTCAAAAGTCGTCCTTTCGAGACTTTGAATTTTCACCCAGAGTTGTCCAGTTATGACGCTCCAAACCCCACTTCAGTAATAAAGTTCCACGATGCAACCTTACAGTGCGCGTCGGGTACGCGATACAACTGTCGAGTGCGCAATACAATCTACTATGTATGCGCAACACAACCACCAAGTATCACAGAAATCTTGTGTAAATACTACTAGTATTTTACCAGATTGTCAGCTGTGCGGGCGATCATCAATTATCCTCGTAGCAGGGGTCCATGCCGTGAACCAACATATGTTATAGAAATAGTGCTGCGACGGAGACCACGCGTGTTCATGATAGCGTTGGAGGTCCTCTGACATGATTTCCTCGCTCGGATGCCATGCTACCATGTTTACAGTCCCTATGTCCAAGTCGTGAGACAAGCCACTCGAACAATTTCGACACGTACTGGCGAGCATCGTGATATTTGTGTGCATCCAGCGAATTATAACCTTACCTCAACAAGCTGGTGGATGCAGTCTATCTCCAACCGCGTTAAAATATGTGTCCATAGAATCCCGAAGTCGCGGCATGAACAATATTGCAGACATTATCGCAGTGAGCGCCCCGTAAGTTGGCACGCAATGACCAGTTAGATAGACGAGGTATTGAGATAGCGACCCAACTTTTGTCTCATAGGGCTTTCGTGAAATATCGGTATGTTCAAGTGGTACGCGAGTGCCATCTGGAGTATACGCGAATCTAGCAAACAATAGGCACTGAAGGACATATGGCGATCAATCAACCAGCATCAAGTCCAGCGAAGGCATATGTCACTTACTGGTGCCCTAATTCCATCGTCGCAATCTACAAGAGCTTCGTTAGTGTTCATCCAAGAAGGCACCCAGTTGAAGGCCAATCCGGACTGTAGCGACTTCGGCTAAGTTAAGAGTAGCACGCCGGAGCTGAAGAGTTGTGAAGACTCATTGTTCCGTGTTGAATATTGGCATTACTGCACTGAGTCCGAAAGAAAGAAAGCAAATTGGAGGATGGTAGTAGTACTAGGTAGACAGGGTATGGCAACATGATGATGACGGTCAGTGAGGCTGTATCAGGCGGTTGTTTGGCAAGGGCTTTGGATCCAAACAAAACTTCCCGCTTTTGAACATTTCCAACTGTACCACAGTGACACAACGGGGAAACTGACATTTTACCACATTTTGCCGCCAGTGAAATTACATTCGAAAGGTAATCTAGAGTGCTCTGGAACGCTCTAGGCTAGGTCTGGAATACCCTAGCCAGGTCTAGACCTGCTTTTGATTGAAATCTTGCAAGAGGCAAAATGTTGAAACCCCCCGATGTGTGATAAGACAGTCGCCACACGGAGATAAGAGTAATACTGACCGAGGGAGACACCGATATCCTCGCGCATGTATTCAATTTGGAATAGGCTTCCAAACAAAATTTGGGCGCGGAATAGGACTTCCTCCTCGGGCAGGTTATGCGGCTCAAAATGCCAACTATCAAGACATTCGATTAGGTGTACTCGCATATGGGCGGGTATCACAATTGGAGAACTGATGAAGTGTTCGATTAAAAGACTCAGAGAAATGGCAGAAAAGGTCATGTATAGTGGTTGACGGTAGTCTGGGTGTGGTGTTCATGTTGCTAAGTAGTTCAGCATAATCTTAAAAAGTAAGGGAGATCTTAAAAAGTAAGGGAGA